CTGGCGTGGCCGCAGGCCCCGTGGACGAGCGAGCGTGCCGGCCGCTGGAGGTCGGTGTCGGTCTGCGCGAGGCGGCTGAGAGGACGGTCACTGGCTTTGCAACCGCATTGGGAGATAATTAGGTGAGCAAAAATGTAATTTATAGTGAAATGATGACGGCATCAGACTTAACCGAATGAAATGCACATCTTTTCTTAAGACTCTGTGGAAAATTATTTTCCCTCTGCTTCCCCCAGAAATGAATAATCACGATTACCATCTGGAAAATATTATTGTGACTTTTCTAATACCGCTTCCAATTCCTGTGCTTGTTTGCTGCCCTCGTCCTGATTGTATGTAGATTCCTGTGACTCGGACACATCTTTTATCGACCAGCCTGTCTGGGTTATCAGAGTTAGGGAGCAAGGCAGTGTTGCCTGACTGGCACTCACACTTCTCTATGCTGATGTAGTTTTAAAGACCATTTTTACATCATTGTTCCCACACTCTGAACATACAAATCTTAATTTTTAATTGGTAGAGGTTTCTTTTAATACTGAGAAAGATATCGTCATTTTGCAGGGTTTTGGCCTTTAATATGACTTCTGTCTATTGATAACATGAAGAGTGTTAGAGACGTGGAATCCGTAATTGTATAAAGTTTTATTACACTGAAATGTTAGAAAGCTTAGAGTGTGAAAGAAACCTGACAAAATTTAGTTTTTTGCTTTTTGCAAAGCAAAACTATGATTACCTATCTACATGAATTACATTTAAGTGACTGATCAAGGTCTGTATATCATACTAATGTGTTTTCTTATTAAAATAAATACACTAATACAGTAACTGTATATGGTAATTTTATATCAGCTTGGTTCTTAGTCTGCCTTAATGGCAGAGTCACCCCCGTATAGTTGGGATATATATTTGTCCACCTTTTTTTAAAGGTATAAAGATGTATAAAATGCTTTGGAAATTATACTATCGCATAACTTTGTAGTGACTTAGTATCAATGGGAAGGAGACAGTCACGCTGCCTAACATAGGAGCCTAATTTAGGTGGCTTATTTAGGAAGTTAATCTTCCTAGTTTCTCTGTGTAAGAAGTGAAGAAGGAGGTTCCTGCTCTTTGTGGCTCCCTGAAGGAGCCTGACAGGAGGGCTGGCATTTGGCCCAAGGAGGAGCTCGTCTCTTCCACTGACTTAAGAAGAAGGTCTGGGACATAAACCAGGTAAGTTAGGTGCACGGTAGACCCATAGGTCATTTTAGTAATGACCACAGGAATACCACAAAGTAGTTGCTATCTGCAGACTGATTGGTAATTTGTGTGAAATGACTGGTAATACAGGGCAAGTCTAAAGAATATACCACAATTACAGTCAGTATCAGTGATGTAGATAATCCTCTTAGCAGGGAGGCTGGGAGTTTACTCTGCTCTACCTCTAACATGCTTTCTTTAGACTGGGGCAGAAATAGTGGCCTGGTGTTTATTATCTGTACAGCTTTACAACTTTATTTTCCTTAGCCTTAATTTCAGTCCTCTAACATAGTCCCTACTGATTTCTGTAAAATTCTGTCAGGCCTAAGAGATACTACTTCTGACCATCTCACAAGAACAACATTTATTTAATATTTCCTTTTATTTGTTAATTTTAGCAGTGCAGATTTCTGTGGAGCAGGACAGTGATTTATTACTTTATTTTTTTAAAAAAACTGTGTTCTTTGTGCTCCTGGCAGCTGATGAGCTACTTTTAGGGGGTCTGGAGAATATGAGCAAGGCTGGAATCTACAGTTGTTAACACCTCCAGTCAAAATATAAATCAAACAAGGTTGAGAACCGCTGGCTTGAATGTTCATGTCACCATTGCCAGCATCATGATTACTGATTTGGAAATCTTGCTTTTACAGAATGGACTTCGATGATGAAGATGGGGAGGGGCCCAGCAAATTTTCAAGGTGAGCATTTACAAATAGTTGGCCACATCGCTGACTTATTTCAGTGGAGAAAGACGGCTGTCTCACTACTGATGTTTTAAAGTCAATATGAACGTGGGCTGAAGAACTTGCCAACAACTTGACCGTTGTTAGTGTTTTTATCGGCTTCCTCTGCAAATTAGACATTCTGGCAGAAATCTGCCTAATGTAGTTATTGGCTTACAAAGCTGACAATGTGTATGTCATAATTTCACTCTGCAGCTATGTTGAATGAGAAAATCTGTGATTTTTAGCTTATTATTTCAACTGCTGTAGATGAACTTTGGTTATTTGACGTTGCTGAATTTGTCTTTCTGACACTGAAAATGAATTTTATTTTGAATTTATTTCAGATGTTAACTTCTTGCTAAGACAATATGACAGATCTTAGGGGTGTGGATTGTTTTTTTAAGATTAAAGCTCATTATGTACCATTAGGTGTGACTGAATAGTAAAAATTGCCAAAATAAATGTTAATGGACGTGGAATATTCTAGGCTAGAAATAAAAACAAACATGAAAGCATCATTGCCATTTTTTCACTTTTCCTTTTTTTCTGGTCACACTGTTTGCATTTTTTTCATTGGAAACCAAGCAGCTGCAGTGAGGGGTAGATACTTTGAGGCCTACCGATAACTGCTGATTATCCAAATTGTTACTGCTGCTCTATAGCAGCAGCCATGTTCAAACACAACTGTCACAGTAGGATTTTAACATGATCTTCCTAGTCAGTCTGAAAGATAAGTGTGCTGAAAATGTGCTGTAACATCATATCATAACCCACTGGAAAATACCAGTAGCACACCTGCTTAGCTGATATCATTTACAGAAAGGCCATTCCAGACTCTGGTGTTAAAACTGGTCATCTGAGGGCTAGTCTTATTGTTTACTAGAAGATACATGTGAAGGAAAAAAGATTTGTGATGAATGTGACCTGATTTGTGCCTGCATAAGTGTCAGGGTTTCCAGGCACAGAGGTGCACATGTGTTGGTCTGTCTCCATCCTGGCTTTGGCCTTTCAAAGTTTGATGGTGGGGAGAGCCAATCGTTCCATTATTTTTATTGGAGAGGTATGCTGTGCTGTGCTTAGACTCAGTTGATTTTTAGATGTCAGATCAAAATCTGATATTTAAACCTTAAATGCTGTAAAAACTCCAAATTGTTCTGCTTTTACAGAGTACGGAAAAACAGTGGAGACACACCCAGGGCCATGTTCAAACATCCTCTTCTAGTTGAGCCTCCTTTTAGGGCTTTTCCCTACTCCAAATTGCTCATGTGACTGATTCCTAGCTTGTCTCAGTCAAAATTATTTCATTAGCAAAGAACTGCTGTTTAAATGTTTAAGCTATCCCAGCTGGCTTTGACTGAAATGCCTGAAGGAGCATGCACGCAGAGAGGTCAGTTAAGAGACTGGAAGGGAGAGAACAGTAGTTGGAAGCAATAACATCTTCAGCCCCACCAGCCAGGGAAGGATGAGCAGACAAGCCCCAAGCTAGTGGGAGCACAGGAGATAGTGGTGTTAGCATGATACTCCACGTGAGTTAACACACCTTGCTTCTCAGGGACTTCCAAGCCAGCTCAGGTATCTGTGCATGGCATCTCATCATCACGTGGAGGCATATGCATGTACTTCTCACATAATGGCATGTTGCCATTCCTCGTTGAATCTGTCTTTTTTTTTTTTTTTCTTAATTTTGTGCTCAGTCTGTTCTCTGAGCAGAGTCAAGGGGAAGAAAGTGGCATTTTCACTTCAATGTTCTTAGGGTGCTGGTGTTGAACACAAATTAGAAAGAAATACCACTCAAGTCTCATTTAAGCTTTCTCTTCAGAGTTTGAACAAGTCTTACTAGGGAAGGAAAACATGAAGCCTTATAGAGGAATTTGCACAGTTGGGATACTTAAAATTAGTTTTGATTCATTTGAGAAGACAAAAAGGAAAACGTTATTAGTTTTTAGAAGAAAAAAGATGCTTAATTATGCTGTATTACCTTGTTAGCTAATACATGGAAGCTTCATAGCTTCATAGGCTCTGTTGTAATACATGACATCATTTTGGAAAAGCTAATTCTAATACAAAATATCAGTTGACTATTGTTGAGCAGTAATAATCTTCAATTCTAGAAAATCCATTAGCCTTATTTTTTAAAATCTACATTTTCTGTTTTGGAACAAGCATTTTGGTATTTTGAAAAGTAAGATCTTTATCCAAAAAATGTGTCTTTTTGTAACTATTCTAGCAAAATCTGATTTCAAAGGATTAGTATGTTTTTAGGAAAGGGAAAGGAGGAGCAGAATATAATTTTTCAGTAAAATGTCACACTGCTGCCTGTCTCTGGGACAACGCTTCAGAAACAGTGAAGCTTTAATCCCATGGAGTAAAAGTCCCATTGATCAGGATTTCCCCCTGAAGTTGCTGCTGATACATTGCACGTACTTGTGTGGGCATCTAACTTCTGTTGATTTGAGTAGGAATGAGGTACCTATTTACTTCTAGGGATTTAAGCCAGTTTTAATTTCACTTCTATTTACCCAGCAGTTTCATCTGCCTGCCTGACTTTTGCCAGTCTTCCCAACAGACAGTACAGTGTCTGTACCTACTAGAGCTTTTTTCTGAAGGTGTCCTTATATAATGCGTTGCACTTAAGCGTATGTCTCTGCCCTCTCATGTTATCTGTAGACCATCAGTGCCCTCTGCTGAATGGAGTGAGTTCTGGTTGCAAGCTGGAAAAGCTTTCACTTCCAACACAGCAATGAATATTTCATGGGCTGCTGTCGATAAAAGCTCAGTGTTGTTTTCTGTAATGGTGCTGGTTGTTAAGTTTCCCAAGCAGTAAGTGTATGTCAAAGCGTTTGCATAAATCCACTGAAATATGTCTCCAACTTTTTAAAATATACAAATGAAGCTTTTGAATCGGCATGGCTTGGAAGTTTCATCAGACTCTACGTTTTCTTTGCTTTATCGTTCTCATGCCCTCATTTTTCTTGATGGTATTTGTAATAGTTTGCAGTTGTGAACCTCTTTGCTTTCTGCTGTGTGTTGACTATCATGCAATGCTTAACCCTTGTGAATTTACTTACTATCTTTTGTTTCTAGGTATGATGGTGATCAAATCTCTGGTGATAAGGAAAAGTTTGCAAGGTAGGCGTGTTCTGTAGAGCTCTTCTGCTGAGAGAAGAGAGGGGGATGGTCCTGTCCAGAAAAACTCTGTAGGTGTGCCTTAGCTTAGAGAGCTGGTTATTTTGTTTCTAGGTGGGATGATGATCAAAGTACTGCTGACACAGAAAGGATGGCCAGGTAGGAAAAAGGAAAATCAAATATGGTTTGCCCCCATTTTTATTTTATATGATGCCATTTTGACTGATGAAAAGGCATCAGGGTTGACTGATCCAAAAATGCTTGAAAACAGAAATACTAACCCTGGACCTAAAGTGGGTTTGGATCAGCTCCTGCAGTCTCCCAAAATTTAACGTCCCTCCAAAATTTCCATATAAAAACAAAGTTAGAAATGACAGAGTTAGGACATCATTTAGTATACATGTTTATGAATGCCAGGATTCCTAGGGCAGACACTTTTGGAAGAGGAGCACAGCCCCTCTTTTTGTTTTAAGGGTTTAAATTTGAACTAGTTTCAGGAAAGTTTCAGGGTTTTGTTTGCTTGAACATTTTCGTGGCCAGTTGATTAACATACTATTACTTTTTAGCTTTTATGGTCATAAATTTAAATGGACTGTTAGATATTTTTCTCTGTTTTCTCAGGAAGTTTTGCAGTCTCTGTTTACTGTTTATAATGGTTGTTTTTAATGTTCAGTAATACTAAAATACTTTAGTGGCAGACAATGGAATATGTATTCATAAATGTAAAATATGTGTTGAATATGTGTGTTTTTTGTCTTTCTCTTCTCTTGATCACCATTTCTGTGAAAACGCTGAACTTAGAGCAAGATTTCATCATGTAAAAATGCATTTTTCTTCTCCTTGTCCATATTTATCTGCATGTATATGCTGGCATGTACACGTGTGCTCTTCTGTACATGTGCACTGGCACACAAGTTGTTCTGCTTGTGTATGTGTATGTGGTCCAACTCCCACAGGCAGTGTTCTCTCCTACATCTGTGCAGACCTGCACAAAGGCTGTTTATCAGCCATTTGAAATGGAAAGGTTCACTATTATGGTATAATAGATAGTTAATTAGCTAATGACCTTAAATAAGGGACTGGCTGTAATTTACTGAACGACCAGGGGCTGTCATTGCTGGGACCCATAGCTGGGTTTCCTGAGTATCAGGTAGTAAGTGTAGACATCAGTAGGAATAATAAGTCTGCGTGTAGTCCTAACAGGTGGTATTTCTGGAGACGATGCCTCATGCATATAATACCTGTATGTGCAGAGGCAGGAAACACACTGTAAAGCAGGGCAAGCCCATGCATTCCTCTATTTCAGGAAGCAGCATACTACAATTTGCATTCTTTCCTGCATTTTAAGAAAAGGCTCCATTATTAAATGTAGTCAAAAAGTGTGCCAAGCCTAGCTTCTGCTTTCATGATCTGTCTACATAACAGTCAGCTCCAAAAAATGTTGCAGTTTCTTTATTGTACCGGTCAATGCTGGTGGACTCTCCAAGTGATCACCTTTCACATCTTGTTGGATCAGCCAGCAATCCCACAAGAAAATGCCATGCACAGCTCATTGAAATCAGTGGAAGATGCTGCTTTGACATCTGAAGCATCATGTACTTGTCGTGTACTTGTATTTAGCTGCTACCTGACAGGTACAGTATGGGAAAAATAAGTGCTAGGCACTGAAGTATTCTAGGTCCATTTGGACTATCTCAGATTGGTGTCATTCCTTAATAGTGATCAAGCAATGGTGATTTACAGTATGGGAAAACTGAACTCCCAGATCTTCAGTTCTGAAAGATTTTGGTGACTGTCCATTTTGAGAATTCTCAAATTTAACTCACCACCTCAGTCATATGTTTGCTATAAAGGATGAGAACATTGGAGCTTAGCCCAAAGTGGGGCAGCATCAAGTACTGTCATTGGCATGTCCCTGCTGTGCTAGATTGTTCTCAAACATAAATTCTGATCTATGTATGACAAGCCAGATGTTTATTTGCTGTCTTACGTAGTCATTTTATTTATTTACTGAGGATTTTTTTAAATGTACTGTTATTCCATATATGGTCCCAGTCCTGCTGTCTGATCCTGTGGGCATTGTAGTGTCCCTCTACACGGATGCAGAACATTCCACACAGCAGCATAGGACTGGAGATCTGTGTTGTCATTCAGTGGGGTTTTTTGTAAGTCAGCACTGACACTGCTGACCTGATCCAGCTGTTACTGAGAGGTTTCCTCTAAAAGAAGGCTTTTATAAGCAGATCCAATACCTCGAGCAAGGCCTGGAAGCTGTGAGATGCATCACAGCTCTTGCAGATTTGTGAGTTTGGCTGGAGTTGGCAGCTGTCAGTTCCTCACATCTTTCTACTTCATTTTTTGTCCTTAAACCAAAGAAGATTAAACTGGTTAAGAGATTAAGGCCAGAAGCCAGTAGTTAGAAATATGGGTTCTTTTCACAGCTATGGGCAAATCATATTTATCCTTCTGTGGCCTGTATTTTCTGTCTAGAAACTGCGGGATAATAGTGTTTAGCTTTGTAAAGCACTCTGCTCTCCTGGGGTGAAACAGCAAAATAAGTGCAAAGTAGTATGATTCGTTACCTCTGGTTGAAATTCTTACACTGATCATGTCTTCTGTTCTGTTGGTTTGGTGTTTCTTTAAATGTTCAGGGAGAATCATAGTGAAATTGAGAGACGCAGGAGAAATAAGATGACACAGTATATCACCGAACTCTCTGATATGGTACCCACTTGTAGCGCATTGGCTCGTAAGCCTGACAAGTTAACAATTCTTCGGATGGCCGTTTCACACATGAAATCAATGAGGGGCACTGGAAACAAATCTACTGATGGAGCGTACAAGCCTTCGTTTCTTACAGAACAGGTAGATTTTTTGCAAATGTCTGTTTTTTCTGGTTTGTGGTCTTAAAAGATGTGAGGAAATGCTGAGACTGGAGTCACAGCTTGATCCTTCGCTGTTGTGTAGCTTGCTTGTACAAGCTACATCCAAGGTGTGAATACAGACAATTTTTTGTGACTGTTTGGACTTGATCTTAACTATGTGACAGATCTTTCTCTCTGAAGCTACAAAATGGGCATTCTTATCATTGAGGTCTGTCCATCTGAAAAGCAAGTCACTTGCTGTCTCCTGTCATTGGAAAGGAATTTTCACCTCTAGAACTTTGTTCTTCCCATCCTAATAAAGATTCTATAAAATAGATAAAAATTGATCTGGAAAGACCTGCCTCACTCTCCTGGGTTTAGAAGAAGGTTAAAAACATTGTTTAGTCTTAATGCCTAAGTTGCCAGCAGCTGAACTGAGCAGAGATGAATCCCGTCTGTACTGGCTGAGGTACTTCCTTGGTTACATTTTTGATGGAAGAAGGAAGATGCACCCAGTTCTTGAAGGAAAACCGTTTAACTGAGAGCACTGGAAATTCCTACCACCTTCATTGTTTTTGAAGCCCTATGGGTGTAATGTGCATTTTTGTGGTCTGAAGGATTTAAGCACTTCAACATGCAAGTTATGGCTAGAGGCAATACTTCTTTCTGTTAGAGAAACAGCAGCTGCTACTGACCTCTCGGTGTTCATATCTCTACTTATTCTGGCTTTCCTGAAGTGTGTTTCTGGAGGGAGTGTGCCGCTCAGCGGATGGTTGGTAGGGGACCCTAGCCACTTCTCATTGCAACTTTTTGGGGTTTTTTTGAACCTTGCAGAATGAGAGAGTTTATCTTCATCTTTGTTAACAATGTATGCAAAACAGATCTCATTATCCTCTGTATAATGCAGCCGGCTATGCATTGAGGGTTTTTTTTCTAGTAAGTGGTTCAGAATTGATGTACTTTTTTTACAATAAAGCAGCAGAAGTTGACGGTTTCTTGAGATGAGTTATCCTTTCTTTAGTAGAATTTACCAGGTTGTGATCTTCACCTTATCAGCTAATATCTGCCACCTGCACACCAGCCATGCTGACTTGTCTAACCTGGAATGGGACTCAGGTTGTCCAAAGTGCTCTGCCTGACTTCCAGATGGAGAATCTTAACAAGCTCTGGTGGTCACTGGAGCCACCAAGCAAAAGCTGTTCAAGCTTGTTTCCCAGGAATTGGAGTGGTAGTTGTCATCCTTTCCCATGAGAGGTTTTCAAGCCATGTTAAGCAGAGGTACCGTTTCTATTGATACATGCAACAGCTGTTTGCATGTGCAAGTCAAGGGTGTTTAGACCCAGTGTCTGACAGTGAAGGACAGAAGTACCTTGCTTTAAAGGCCTATGGTCCTTCCAGTCCCCAGGTGGGGCATCTCAGGTGGATGTGTGGGTGTCTCAGGCCAGAAATACCCAGGGTGTTGAGCCAGGGACCGTGTAAAGATAGGCCAAAGACAGGGGTTTTCCAGACCCTTTAGATCTCTGAAGCTTCATATTCACAGGCTGGAAAAAGAAAGTAAGAAGTGATACAACCTTCATGTGTAGTGGCTGGGGCCCCCTAATGGGAGGCGGGGCTGGGGATTCCTGTCCTTCTTCCCATTACACTTTCTGCTTTTTATCCAGTGACTATTTAGTTTGCAAAAAGAGCTCATTCTGAGGGGAAAAAAACAAACAAACAAACCAGAAAGAGTTGTTGGCTTCTCTCCAATTATATTATTCAAGACGTTTAATTAAGGGTTTGGCATATGAGTTATAGCTGTTCATTTCCTCTGTTTGTACTCTTAAATAACTTTTTCTTTTTTTAATGTTAGATGCCTATCACACAATATGCATCGCATTTTAGTTACTTAATTTTCCTAAAGTGCATTGAGATCACCAGATGAAATGCAATAAATGAAAACAAAATATTGTTTGTTATTAAGATCAGCAATTTATGGCTTGCTGCAAGTTTGGTTGTGTTGTTACATCAAAACTACAGTAAAAACTTCTGCCTAAGTTGTAATCAGCTACTAAGATCGCAAGAAAACAATATTCTTTGGCAGTGACAGATGTGTTATTTAATTCCATTTTCTGCTGGCATTCTAATCAAATCCTTTTTTTGGAAGGAACTGAAGCATCTTATCCTGGAGGCCGCAGATGGGTTCCTGTTTGTAGTTGCAGCTGAGACGGGAAGAGTGATCTACGTATCAGATTCTGTGACTCCCGTGCTGAACCAGCCACAGTCTGAATGGTTTGGCAGCACTTTGTATGAACAGGTTCATCCAGATGATGTGGAAAAGCTGCGAGAGCAACTATGTACATCTGAAAACTCTATGACAGGTCAGATATGTCAGGTGTATGGTTCTGTGTGTTATGGATCCCTGCAGAGTTTTTCTGACATTCAAAATGCCTGGTTTAAAAATCTGGTAAAAATGAAATTCAGCAAGATTAAACTGCCTTTTTCTTGCAAGCAGTGCAGTAATAGAAATCTTCTTTTGCATGACTACTTTTTGTTTCCTAATTGTTTGACTTCAGTCAAACCACCTTCACATAGCTCTGCATTAAAACTTCTGGCTTGGGTAGGTTTGGAACCTGGATTGTTTTCAGGCTTGGTCCAGAAATCTAGATTGTTTTCCTTTCATCCTCAATGAACTTGTGACTTCCTTACAAATATGTGTTTCTTTAGGGCAGTGTTTATTTTGAAGGCAAAAATCATACTTTAGACTTTTCCATTTTCCTAAAATGTCCTTGTGGTTTGCTAACGGGAATCCTGGGCAGAAAAAATCCAGTGTTTGGCAGCTGAGAAATCTAGTGGATTTTAAATGGGAGGCTTGCACCCGTAACAGTGGTGTAATTTAGCTGTATGTTGACTACCTGTCATTTTGCACATGAAACTAAACCATATTCATATCTTCCATATAACTCTGGCTTTTACAATTATTCATGCTCAAGGCTGCCAGTAGGAAACTAGCCTTGTCTTTAATAGGATACTTGTACGCTAGAGCTAAATCCTGTTTTAACTCAAACTTGGAAAGGAGGAAACCCAACTTCTCTTTTTATTCTTCCACATAGTATGGTTATAGCTAAAGCAAAAAAGCTAGGGGAAAATATTTGTAACAAATCCCAATCTTTACAAAAATCACATAATTTCTCTTTGCTTTAGTAATTCAGAATTCTGAACTGGTTTGCTGGAAGTTTTGTTGTGTTTCATAACTCAAAGGACAGCGATCCAGTTTTGAGTGAACCTGCACACTGTTTACAGCTTCCATGTCAAAACAGTGCCAAATTCATGATTTCCTGTGGTTTGAATGTGATGTGGTTTTGGCAGAGCTTGCCTGTATTCCAACTGGAAACTCAAAGCAAAATTCTGTGGTGAAAATCCAGATGGATCGAAACCAAGTGAATGGTTAGGGGAACCTGTGCAGAGCAAAACAGATGAGCATCATACCACAAGACTTGCAAAAGAGCACAACCTCTGTTTTTGTTATGTAGCATGTAATATATTTTAATGTACATACCGTCTTCCTCCAAGAAGCAATTACTTCAGAGTCTCAGTGAACAGTCATGTTTTGACTTCCAAAAGTGCTCAGTTATGGGGCTCAACTTGCTCAAACTAGAGCAGGACTAGACAAACGCAGAGCACTTCTGAAAACCCAACTGTGTGTTTTCCAGTTTTAACTATGTGCTTTTCTTTTACACTGAGTTCTTCTGTAGCCAGTGGAAAGAGAAGTTCAAATAATAGTATTTATAGGGCTAAATTTTTTCCCTGCCTGAGTCTTTTGGAGTTGTCAGATTGACACAGAAGACTCGTAAATCTGCTGTACATGGACAGCTGAACATCCTCCCAGTGTGAGGAAAGCATCAGCCTGTTTAGAGCCAGGGTAGCCTGCCTTAGCTACACTCCTTAAGGTGCAGGGGCAGGTTGACTGTAGAAAGATGCTTCTTAGGGACTGGAGAGTGTGTGTGGTTAAAACTGTTCCAAGCAAGTGCAAGTAAGAACAGTGCATAATTGGCCCTAACTATATGGGCACGTTGTGCGAGTTTTCCTTTACAAAGTTATTGTGGTTACATGTACAGTGCTGTTGTTTTGGCTAGCTGAACATCTCACAAGCCATAAACACAATCATCAGCCTGCTTCTGAATCAAGCGTAGATGTACAGTTGTATGTACATCATGTCTCGATAAGATCATCATAGAACAGATTTTTAAGGTGTCTGCTGCATTTTTCTAGCTTTTTAATAAAATTAGTGCAGAGCAAGTGACATCATAATATAATCCTGCTTTTTGAGTAGTTTTGTTTTAAAGGTGTGACTGGTGAAGTACATTTAGTTAGTATCCTAGTAGTTTTGTCAGTCTGAGGGGCATATAGATAAACAGAAAGCTCTAGATTTGTTATATTAAACTTGCATTTCCTTGACCCTGTAAGGTACCATTATATAAGAGAAACAGTCTCGTATAAGGACTGTCAGTCCAGCATCAATTTGCTTATAAACATCATCCAGCAGGACTTCAGCAGCATCACTCTTGCTCATTTGAGATACCTTTCTGGGAGCAAGGTAATTCTAGAGTCCCTTCAACCAGTTACACTTTTCTTCCAGTAAGAGAAGCCATACTGAGAGTAGCAACTTTGTAACAGGTAAGAATAAAATGAAATATTGCAGTGAACAGAAATAATGGGTGCCTTAGTGACATTTTAAGAGAAGTCAAGTAGGCAAATGCACTTCCTTTATGTCAGTGTTTATCAAACCATTTCGGCAGCCCCCAGGTCTCTCTTGGCTTTCCAAAGTTACGTTTCATGCAGAGCAAAGGGCAATGCAGAACTTGAAAGAGATGCAAACTGCAAGCCAGCCAGCTGCATTTGACATTTTTCCTGCTCAAGGTGAAGTTAACCACAGGCAGCAGGAAAATCCTCATCTTTTAGTGACCTCTTTGTCATCTTCTCAGGGTCCATTTTCTCAACCCTATAACCTCCTCCTTCAGCCCTTGAACTGGGGAAGCAATGACAGCATAATGACAAAGGAGAAATTTCACTTGCCTTGCATCAGATCAGAGCAATGTCCTTTGATTGTAGGGGGTTTTTTTTGTTTTTTTACAAGTGCTGATCATTAGAGCTGCATTGCTGGGGTTTTCCCAGCACCTCTTAGCAATGCGGCTACCCAGAGAAGCTGCTCCAGACCCCGAGGACTTGGGAGGCTGCCACTGCCAAAGGGGAGCAACAGAGACAAGTTGGTGGAGAAAGCAGGCTCCCTCTCACATTTCTGCCCCCAGGAATAAGACTGGGACTGAGGCTGTGGTTGCATGAGTGTTTCTTTGGCAGTGACACCAGTTTATGCAATCCTCACCTCATCTCACCCTCTCCTCCTTTGGCATTTGTGTGGTACTATAATGAGTCACATCAAGGGGGCTGACCCAGACGAAAGCCAAGCTAAGCAAAAAAACCTTGGTTTTGGTAGAGACAGTTCTTTGGTCCACCTTGACATAGGGTTGCTTGAATTCTTGTGCTAACACCAAGGAGAAGCAGGGAGTGAATAGCTGAGGATAAGGAGAGGACAGGACTTCAGGAGCAGTAAAAGCATATGCCAAATTGAAGTGGCTGTTTAACCATGGCCTAAACCATGTACTGTGGGGAGTTAATTGCTTGCTCTATTTTTAATTCTGAGGATATGGGGAAGGATGGATAGTTTCTATTCCATTTTATATCCTTGGAGATTTTATTCCCTGGAAATGGAACAATTGTCTGCTTGTTTATTGTACATTAATTGCTAACACATTGTAGCAACAGGAAAGCTGAACTGTGAAGTAGATGTATGATTTGAAATGCTCTAGAAACGACAGCAGCTGAGACTTGATGATAGCAACAAATAGTGCTTCCAAGAAGTCTTTACATGCATCATGGGCATGATTAATCAGAATGGGGCAGATATTCAGAGTAATAATTTATTTTCCCCTCTTTGTTCTTGGAAATCTGCAGATGGGAAACCAAATCACTTCAAATATGGATGAAGATCAGATACCACAGTAGGATCCATTAGCAAAGATCTCTTTGCCCTTAGGATGTGCTGATGACACTTGATGGATGTTGGGTTCAGATGCAGGTTCAGAGTGGGAAGCTGTGAAGGGCTGACTAACACACAGCACGGTGGAATCCTAATGCAAGTGAGAGCCTCTAAACAGCTGCAGACAACAAATCTCTGATGGCGCAGAGAACAGAACTTAGATTTAAGAGCAAAGAAAAACGGCTTTTGAAGAATACCTCTGCTACATTTACTCTCCAAAAAGCGACTGAGCAAGTATTGTAGTAGACTCTGCTTCCATTAAAATATGGTGTTCCAGAACACTTTGCCAGACTGATTTCTCCCAGTCTAATTCTCCATAGGCAGTTCATGGAAGAGTAGAATGAGAAATATAGATACCTCTGTATCGTTGCCTGGAAATGCTCCAAGTGATGTGCCTGAGAGATGCTTGTCAAGGCTGTGAGGTCCCTGTTCCTGCAGCCAGCATCTGCAGTGGAGCAAATGGGAAACGCCCAAGTTTATTACATTCAATTCTGAGCTCCAAGCAGCATAGCACATAGTAATCCAGTCTTCCTTCAGCCTCATTCTCTATAGCTAAGGCAAGACAGGGAGCAGCATATGTAATCCCATCTATGACACAAAACCTCTTCAGGACGTTCAGAATCAGGAGTCCTTGCAAACTGTTCTAGCTGAGTAGTTAAGGGGTGCTGAAACTGCAGACCTGTGACTGCAAGAAAATGATGGGAACCAGAACCTCAGCTTTAATTTTCAAGTGATTTAAAAATGACTAACTCAATTTACTTGCTAGCTGAAAAAGATTAATTGAGGTTACTTCTGGACAGAACTTGTATACCAAGTTTAATCTTGGCATGATATTTTATTGCTATATTTTGTAAGTACAAAAAAGTAGAACTTTATGATGGAAATGGTGACTGACCACAGCAAAAATTGAGCTGATAGGTACCTTTTCAGAAGAAAAGACCATTGTGTGACAGTTCGCCGTGGTTGATGAATATTATGGAAACATCACTCCATGTTGTGCAAGCAGAGATTTGGATTGGGGAACCTGTCTCATGGAACCTTCAAATAATATGTTGTCTTGTGATGATGGTTTCAGCATATGCAGTTTTCTGTCCAACTGCAAAGCTTTCTGTTACCAAGCACAGTTTGTAGACGCAACCACAAAATCCAGATGCTGTAGATAGAGTCAAATTGTCTGTAAAAATGAGAAAAATAATGTTAAACTCAAAAGAGGGCAGTGCCAGAGACCAGTGGAGAAGGAAAGTAAAGCTTTCCACAGCACTGAACAGGTGAGAAGTGCTCAAC